AAATTTATCAACGAGTAAGAAAGATATGTTTATTATTAGACATAGATATCCTTACTAAATCTTTGCCAACATTTTTCTGAAAAAGTGGGATTTGTTGGCATGTCGTCTGGCTTTATCACATACATATGTGATTTAAGTTGCTGCATGCAGCTTAACTGTGTATTTGAACAGTGAGATATAGTATTGTATTTCAACTGAGATATGTATTTCGCTGCTGCCTTTTCTTAAATTGGGTAGCGCTAACATATTTAAAGACAGTCCACTACGCAGGTGAAAGTCAGATAGGAAAAGATAAATCTGTTCAATTATGTGTAAATGAACTGATGAAGCTAGCACTGTCCGCGTGTCAACATGATGAAGCTAGCACTGTCCGCGTGTCAACATGATGAAGCTAGCACTGTCCGCGTGTCAACATGATGAAGCTATCATTTTCTGTATGTCAACATGATCTAGCTAATGATGTCCGTGTGTCAATATGATAAAAAAATGTCAGTATGTCACATAATGATGTCAGCACTGTCTGTAAGCCAACATGATGAAGCTAGCACTGTCCGCGTGTCAACATGATAAAGCTATCATTTTCTGTATGTCAACATGATCTAGCTAATGATGTCCGTGTGTCAATATGATAAAGTAAGAACTGTCAGTATGTCACATAATGATGTCAGCACTGTCTGTAAGCCAAAATGATGAAACTAGCACTGTCCGCGTGTCAACATGATGAAGCTATCATTTTCTGTATGTCAACATGATGAAGCTAATGATGTCCGTGTGTCAATATGATAAAGTAAGAACTGTCAGTATGTCAAATAATGATGTCAGCACTGTAAGCCAACAAGATGAAGCTAACACTGTCCGTATGCCAACATGCATAAGCTAACATGAGTTAACATGATGAGATAAACACTGTCAATATGTCACGTGATGAAGCTAGCAACTGTCCGTATGCCAACATGATGAAGCTAACACTGTCCGTATGTCAACATGATGAATCTAGCACTGTCAGTATGTCACATGATGAAGTCAGCACTGTCCGTATGCCAACATGATGAAGCCAACACTGTCAGTATGCCAACATGATGAAGCTAACACTGTCCGTATGTCAACATGATGAATCTAGCACTGTCAGTGTCACATGATGAAGGCAGTAATGTCCGGATGCTAACATGATATAGCTAACACTGTCCGTATTCAACATGATGAATCTAGCACTGCCAGTATGTCATATGATGAAGTCAGCACTGTACGTATGCCAACATGATGAAGCCAACACTGTTAGTTTGCCAACATGATGAAGCTAACACTGACCTATGTCAACACGATGAAGTTAACACTATCCGTATATCCACAACTGTATTCTACACAAGTTCCATCAGCTTCCGAAGTGTGTATTACTCAAAGTAAAAGCCACTCCACAAATGCAAAAACCAAATTGACTTGCAGGTAGATGTAACGTGCAGTGTATATACCAGACTAAACATAAGTCAGTACTGCCAGTCAGTACTATCAGTACTATCAGTACTGCCTTAGAGACTGATGAATGTAATTGTTTCATAGAATGTTTAACCTATCCATCCATACACATGTACACTTGCCCACCCATACATCTATTTACCATTCAAAACCCCCAAAACAACAAAAAGAGGGACCAACCATGCATATATTCCATTTACAGACGTAATTTTACACAAAAACGAGGTATTCCAATTATTTGGTTCTTGACATATCTTGCCATGGCAACGCTGACAATTAAGCCTTCGAGTAAAAGACTTGGAACTCTGACGTCATGCAACAGTACCGGTGTGTCCTCTCAGTATATTTTTTTGTATGGAGTAGCTGTCTCAAAAGCCAAATCTAGCCATGCAGTATTTAAAACGCTTTGACATTGGAGTGACAATCCAGTGTCTGGAAGGTGCAGGCAAATAACATGGGTAGGACTGAATGAATTGTTTTGCTTAAGGATTTTAATTTCAATCAAAATTAATAATAGTCCCATGCTCTTTTCACTTTCCACCAGACCTCAAAAACTTAATTGTGTGTGTGTGTGTGTGTGTGTGTGTGTGTGTGTGTGTGTGTGTGTGTGTGTTGATCAATCCAGATAGTTCATGCGTTTCAATAATTATAGGAATCAAACTCCTTCAAAATGTAGGCCTATTTTTGAATGTTGATGCTTTCCTCGTTCAATCTTCATTTAATGTGAGTTTTTCCTGACAGTTTAAATGGTTTCATATAATTGTTGTCTGTTGATAGGTTCTATATGAATTAATTGATTTCTTTTAAAAAATATAGTAGGGTTGCCCTCTTGGCTGTTGTCGTGGCCTGATTCAATGATACCAGCATTCTTTACCATCTTGCAGCAGAAGATTTTGGTTTAGACATATATTTTACTGTTCTAAATCTGTCATCCTTTTTATATTCATTCATGGCAGTAAAATGTATATATGGTGTTGTTTTTGTTGCATTCTCCCCACGCCACTGGAGATCACTGAGGTCAAGCCCCTCCAAAGTATCGAATGTGCCGAAAAAGCCCTTTCACCAGCTGTAAAATAATTTCCTGCCATCAATAATTGATTTGAATGTATATGCACCATTCAATTAATATGGCAGTAAGAGTAAAGCAGTCTTTGAATGAATTAAATCCAATATAACGGTCGTATTTTCCAGGATCACAAGATCGGGGTCTTTGATGTTTAAGACGTAACTTGATTCCAGATCTCGACTTGGTTCATTAGAATGTATGCTTCATCACTGTGTATCACTGTTGTTTTGCCCATGTCTCGCTTGTGCCATGGGATAACTCCTGTTACCTAAGTGGTTAAAGCATCCGCCTAATCAGATTCCATGATAATTGTATGACAGTCCGTGACCTTGAACTACTTTTGAAGCTCGGTTAACCTCAGTCACGTTTGTATATATTCATGATATTAGATGGATGTGCTCATGTCCTGTATCGCTGCAGGCAGATGGTGCGTGGTGATAACATGCATGCAATTTTCTTGTTCTATTTCACATTTTCATTTTGACATTTACATATAGCTCATTTTCCTGTCCATTGTTGCATATATGATTTGTATATTTACATTTATCAGTTTTGTTAGCAACCATTTTTAGTAAATTTTAGTTGCAATGACCTGCATTTATTGATAAAGTCACTCGCGTCATCTGAACGTTTCCAAAGTACCAATGGTATTAATGTGGAACCTATACATAAAAACCATAGACATACAAGTCCATATACAAACCATAGACATACAAGTCCATATACAAACCATAGACATACAAGTCCATATAAAAGCCATTGACATACACGTCCATATAAAAACTATAGGCATACAAGTCCATATAAAAACCATAGACATACAAGTCCATATAAAAACCATTGACATACAAGTCCATATAAAAACCATAGACATATAAGTCCATATAAAAGTCGTAGTCAGTTCAAGTCCACATAGACAGTTCAAGTCCACCTATTTTAAATAACAGGTTAGACAAAACGTAACATTTTATGTTTGATGGCGCGGATGGGTGGTGTTATCATTAAAAATAATGTGTTTCTGAATGAAGTTTTTCACTTACATAAATGTGAAACTGTAATCTCATTGGCGAATCGAAAAAAGTCAGTTCTCAGATATATCAGATACCTCGATTTCAATCAGATTGCTTTAAGGTTAAACGCCTAAGCCACCACTTCGATAACATGGTGTATTGTCCAGACTATGCATTTACAGATAAACTGCTGACAGATAGACAACCACATTTGTTTCTCCAAATGAAGTATGCCTTTTCTTGTTGACTGTTTCAAAGCATGAACAGTAAAGATCACTGAGTGCAACAGACAAACACACACACACACGCAACAAGTTCTAAGAAACTTTGATATTTGTTAGATATAAAGCTACAAATGATTCTTATCTCAATTTCTTTATTACTTCTATGCATGAACCACATTGATCTTTGATACCGTACAAAAAGCAAATAGCCATTTTACAGAAACAGTTGTCCATATTCTTAATTATTACGTATTAAAAAAATGCCACCGTGCTTTACGCATTATGATCTAGATCTCAGACTCTGACTTTAACTTGAAAACAGCTACGGCTTTATATGTATAACCAGCGATTTCCGAGATAATTTCTGTCTAGTGGGATACACTATCATCAGTTTTACTCATCTCTTGTATATTAAGAAATATCAGGATGGCTTCCTATCGGTACTAAACAATGTCTATACAGCAAAATAGGAAAGAAAAATATAATAACAAAAGTGCTATGATCTCTGTAAACAAAACTACAATGAGCAGTAAATACTTAATACAGCCATGTGCAACATTTTTTTTTATTCCTGAAGAGAGATTTTATAATTATTTTGAATTTAAATATATTCTATTGTACCATATATGTCAGATTATAGTTCTGGTCTTTGTACTCAATGAGGACACGATCCAATATTAACAGTTTTTTGGGGGGATTTGTATTACATAATATTTAATTGAATGCTGATATATGCAGATGTTACATTGTTACTATTAATAAACATTACTTATAAATGTACAGCCACGACTGTTAAAGACAAATTACTTGCTCACCTGTTTTCTTCCACGTGAGGAGGACATTGCTGATTCTAAGAATGCGAATGCATTAACAGCAAAAATGTTGGAAACTATTTATATAATTGCTTCATTGTGTTGCAGATAGAAAGCTAATAATAAAGCGCCTTCCTTCGGAGATTATCTCTTGAGCATAAGTGTAACAAAATTATGCTTGCAGGAATAAGTATGGGTGATTCTGATTTTTAACGTAGTTTTGACAATTTTTCAGTCATATTGCTACGATATATGCAGTGTGACAGTTTATATAAATATCTAACACTGGGCCATTACGTCTCAGACATGTAGCATCATGTCCCAACAAGTCACATTATCTTGACACCAGGCCAACCAATCATAAACCTAACATCTTAATGATTAGCGCCTATTGAATCAGCTGTTAGTATCATTTTTCTTTTGTATGGCTAGACCGGGTCGAACCCGCGACCTCCCGTATTCGAGACGGACGCTATAACCACTTAGGCCACAAGAGCGGTCACACAGGCAAGTCTATTTTTGACCAGTGACGTAATAAAATATAGACCTATATTATCTGTTTTCTATATACTGATGCATACGCTGAGAAAGCTTTCATTTATGACTTCTGTATACTGATGCCTACGTCTTAATATAGTTGTCATATCTAACTTCTGTATAATGATGTCTCGTCTTAATATAGTTTTCATATCTAACTTCTGTATAATGATTTCTCGTCTTAATATAGTTTTCATATCTAACTTCTGCATACTGATGTCTCTTCTTAATATAGTTTTCATATCTAACTTCTGTATACTAATGTCTTGTCTTAATATAGTTTTCATATCTAACTTCTGTATAATAATGTCTCGTCTTAATATAGTTTTCATATCTAACTTCTGCATACTGATGTCTCATCTTAATATAGTTTTCATATCTAACTTCTGTATACTGATGCCTACGTCTTAATATAGTTGTCTTATTATATGCTCATCTTTTTTCTCCGTTAACTTTACATTGTCAGAATCGTGCAATATTCACCGATATTGAACACCTTCATACTATATCCCACGTGCAAAGGAACTATTTTCTAACGTAAACAATTTTTTATGAATGAACTGAAGCATATATTTCATAGACGGCCACATACCAGCAAATGCTTCATAGACTGACACATGGAAACTGCTTTGGCACATTCTGCGTTTACTTTTTTGATACTATGTTTCAAATTTAACTATATATCGACGCTATACTGGTTCCTCACAATAAAATGCAAGTTATACACATAAACTGTCTTCTTTAGCTGTTAATAAAAATGGGCAAAAAATATACTTACAATTTTACATCCTGAATTTCCTCACAAAAATATTTTCGTAGGTCTGTAAATCTGAATTAGATGCGCCATGTCATGGCTTCTCAAGATCGATTACACATTTTGAAATTGTACTGTAATTTTCAGTATATTCCAAGTGTAGTTATATCCTCCTTACTGCAATCAAAATGAAATAAACATTAAATTCCACAGCGTGTTTTCGATAATTGCAATGGAAAGCTTCATAATTTTCCCACATTGTGATCTGAATCATTCAATGACAGAAAAGAAACACGCATGCCTATGTCAACACAATTCAACACATTAAATTGGCAGACGCTGCTGGAAACCGATGCAAGTCACTTCATGTAGATAAATCCAGACCATAATCAAAAGATTGCGTTGAATCGACAAATATACCAAAAGGTATTCATTCCAGATCAAATGGAAAAGTTGTTGCAATGCGTATTCATCAACAATATTACTCCAAATTTCAATTTTAAGTAGAGCAAGCGCCATTTTCTTTCGAAACTTACGTCTAGCGCGCAACCAACTTCATATTTATCTGGGCGGAGTTTTGCGCTCATTAATAATGTTGTGTAATGATCCATCAACACATATATTTAGTTCGGAATACGGCGTACATTTAGTTACTTTGTTTCTTTCAGTGTATTTTTGTTTATGTATTTAAGCCTTGGAAAGAATAAGACATGAGCATATAATAAAAAGGTTACTGTATTTGTATGGGAAAATATGAACTCGTTTTGTCGGAAGGATATACAGCACTCCCAAGGTCGTGCAGTATATCCATCCGAAAAACTCGTTCATATTTTCCCATACAAATGCAGTAACCTATAAATATCTAACTTCTGTATACTGATGCCTACGTCTTAGTATAGTTGTCGTATCTAACTTCTGTATACTGATGCCTACGTCTTAATATAGTTTCATATCTAACTTCTGTATACTGATGTCTCGTCTTAAAATAGTTGTCATATCTAACTTCCGCATACTGATACCTACGTCTTAATATAGTTGTCATATCTAACTTCTGAATATTGATGCCTACATCTTAATATAGTTGTCATATCTAACTTCTGTATACTGATGTCTCGTCTTAATATAGTTGTCATATCTAACTTCTGTATACTGATGTCTCGTCTTAATATAGTTGTCATATCTAACTTCTGTATACTGATGCCTACGTCTTAATATAGTTTCATATCTAATTTCTACATACTGATGTCGAAATATAGCCTTATATCTGACTTCTTCATACTGCTGCCTACGTATTAAAATCGCTTTCATATCTGTATTCTTCATATTGCTGTCTTAATATACATTCATACTGACCTGCATCTGATGCCTACGTGTTAACATAGTTTTCATATCTGACTTCTAAATACTAATAACATCTTAACATAGTTTCATATTTGACTTCTACATACTAATAATAACAAAATCTTGATATGGGTTTCATATCTGACTTCTACATACTAATAACAAAATCTTAATATAGTTTTCATGATACTGATGCTTGATAGCTGTAATTTACTGGATTACAGCCCTGAAAACAATGTTTTCTCTTGTTCACTGTACTTTTTTCATCCGCTAGGGGATCGCAGATAACCTGGCTTTAGTTCAAATGCTGAAAATTCGATAGCTTCATTTGTCTTCATACAAGAGCAACAACTTGTTTGCAATTTCATACAAGGAAACAATATGGACTAGTTTGTGCAAACGTACTAACAGCCCAATATTTCAAAGTCGAAGATCAAAGGCCAGGCTAGTGTTTAGCTACGAGCGTAATAAAATAAATGGTCTCATTTGGCTCGGACTACATATTATTGTTGATTTAATATAAAACGCCAAGATAACAATCATTTTTACCCCTCAGCGATGATGATCAAAGTAATAATTCGGCCTAAAGCAAGATAACTGTTATAAGACCACTAATAAGTAATTACAATTACACTTCAATAACTCATTCTTCTAGTCTTTTTCTCCAGGTTGGTCCCAGTTATCCCCTATCGATATTAATGAAGCCTCTTTTACACCGGACACATATACAAAGAGCCCACTTTAGTGAATTCAAAATAAGTAATGCTAAGATCCTGACAACGAAATATCGGTGATCTGTTTTGTCAAAGAATTTATCTTATACTTGTCTGAGCATCAGGGCATTAAAAAGACTCTCTACTTGTTCTCCTTCAATATCTAGATGTCTGTGTTATAATATTTACACTTTTCCACAAACAAAGAATTGCCAGGCACAGACTTATTATAATCGCTTCACAATATTGTCTTTGTACCATCATATCACTATCTTTTAATGCAAACTAATATATATACATTAATCGAAAATCCTCTTTACTAATCAATAACTCGCTACACCGTTTTTGGCATGATTCCTTGACCACACCGTTTTTGGCAGGACTCCTTAACCACACCGTTTTTGGCAGGATTCCTTAACTACACCATTTATAGTACTAACTTAAGAACACTACATGGCGATTCGAAGAAATGCAAGAATGCACCGAATAATTCTTGAGATCTGAAAAAGCGAAGTATAAAAGTGGAAAAATTTTCAACCAAAGCCACTAGGCAAACATTGTACAGAGAGCTTAGAAGAACCAGAAATTGTGTTGTACGATTCGGATTCTTATCAATCATATATTGTACAGGCTTTCTAAAACTTCGATTATTACACGCAAACATACATAAAGACTATAAATTTCGGAGAGAGTCTATACACGTGATAATTGTATCACTGGCTGTTGAATCACGTTTTTTTTTTCTTCTTCTAGTAAATATACATTTATTTATACATTCTATTTCTTTACATATTTTCTGTCATCTGGACTGTGATAATAGTATTGAACGAGGGCTAAAATAAAGATAACTTATAAATAACAACTCTGAGAGAGAAAGTATTGAAATGGGCACACATATAACCAGCTTTGTCCCCCTCCCTCGAAAAAAGATGTAAAAAATCGGTCATGATCTGATAACATTTTCATGATGCGAGCCGCTTAAGCGTAAGAAGTCGGTCATAGTCAAAACCTTTCTGAATCGTAAATCTCATAGTGTACTTGATCAATCCGATAAGCCGAAGGATCCTGACAGTTACCGAGAAATAATTAATAGTTTCAAAATAGAGCCGATTTATTCCGTAGCTTTCGACTCAAGTAGGTGAAAGGTGGGGTTCCTGATAAAAAGAAAAAAGTCATACATAACATTTTGTATGGCCCGGTCAAGAATTTGTCTGCTAAAGTTTAGCGTTCAACCTAAAGAACGGTTCTTTTACTGTACTGGTAAAACACCCCCCCCCCACGCACCCCACTGCCCCAATCCACACACAACCACCTCCTTCAATAGAATCCCCCAATTAAATACGATCAACGAAGTTATCTGCAGTATAATAGAATGAGAAATGTAAAGAGGTTAAGTGGTATTCCCTACTTCACACAGTATCATGGATCGTGTATCAGTCGAGAATTTTTGCCAGCTCTTATTTTCTTTACTTCACCTGTAAGAACATATTAGTATCAGCATGACATGAGATTGGCCATCTTATGAAGAATACCGAGAAAAAACGTAATATATATATATATATATATATATATATATATATATATATATATATATATATATATATATATATATATATATATATATATAAAGAATACAAATCATATGGCGAATAACAACCCTTTCAAGTGTGTACTGGATCCACCAAGGGATCACGTGTGTCAGGGATTAATTAAAATAGATGCAATAAACTGACGACGAACAGTACGAAACTAGTAACTAACTAGCCTAAGCGCTTTCGACTCTTAATGAGTCTTTTTCAAAGGCAAATACAAAACATAGTTACGACAAACAAATAAACACAAAAACATTGTGTTTGTAAACCTCTACATTTCTGTCTTCACATGTGCTAAAACTATAAATACAACCAGCTTGTATAGACTAGTTGCGGAAACTGAAAACCTTGTATAATTCCCTAAAAGTCTACAAGCCAAAGCGACATCTATTTTTACTTTGTGTACATATGTAACGCAGATTATATCCCGGATATTTGATTCTATACCGGTTATTCCTATAGTAAAAATTGAAGTATAATAAGAAGATTTAGAAAATGTTAAATTCTAATAGTGCATACTTTTCATTTTCTAGTCTTCTTGGTTTAGACCGCTTGGTTTC